GGGGGGGAGGTATGGGGGTATTAGGGACGGGTATGGGGTTGTTGGTGGGGTTATAAGGGGTTCTGGAGCCAAAAAAAGAAATGAAAAATATGAAGAAATTGGGGGGTGGCGACGAACCCTGACTTGTAGGTGCTGACCAGCCGACCAGTCAAGGGCTGCCGACTGTCGGGGTATGCAACACTGCCTGTGCGTATGTTGAATAAATATATATGAACTACCCTTCCAAACTCTTCACCATTTGATGAGAATTTTTCTGCCGTAGCTGAAAGGGAGGGAGAAGCACATGATTCCCATTTCTGCGTCCAAAATCCTGTGATTGTCGTCCCTCCATCAGAAGGCACGCGAATGTCCTTGTCTACATGTCACGGTTCAGGTGATGAATCTGACCATGTGTGTTTAGGTGGGGTATGACAGGGACGGGCATCCAAAATCCTGTGATTGTTATTAATCTGAACTCGACGACATGATTTCACCTCCCCCGATGATGCTCATGGATGTCCTTCTCCACACGTCGTGGCTCAGATTGTGCACCTGACTGCTGGTGTTCAGGTGGTGCGGTCTGACAGCAACGGGCAACCATGGAACTTAGTTTTTTTTTTTTTTTTTTTTTTTTAATAAACAGGTCCTTATGGCCCTGGCTCCGTGTCCATTCTGGGGAGCGTCAGTCCGGTTCCTATTCCCCCGGCAAGTCAAGATTGAATACAACATTGTACACACCCACGCTTCCTTCCATCTGGCCGAAGGAACCCTGACCAGCATTGATTACTCCTGTATGGGAGGATTGACTGTCAGCTTGCCCTACCCTAGCTTTCCTCTCAGATACCCTGCTGGTTCTGTCGAATAGGTATTGAAGCACAAGAAAACCGGGAGAGATGTCTATCCGTCTGAGGCTAGAACCTCAATTCGTCCCTCTCGGGGCTACAATCGTTGTTGTTGTTGTAGTGGCCCTTTTCTTCCGGTGTAACTTATTGTCTGAGACTGTCGTGATCTTCCCCTGTAGCAACCAGTCTCTCATGAAGATTCGTCTCCTGAGTGTGAGTCTTTCAGGTTTGCCTCTCATTGCTGTTGATATATTCCTCCATTTGCATCGGATCTCTGTTTCCACCATCCTCAGCAGCAGGTTCCACATTTCCTCCTTGGCCGCTTCTGAACCCTCGATTGTCCTGGTACATCTCCTTTTCCATATGACCCACAGGGCTATTTTCCTGATCATGTGGAACCAGACCGCTTTTCCACTTCTGAGGCTGTCGGGGATGTTAGATAGAARTAGGATGTTCAGAGGGGTGAGGTTGGGGGGAGGGGATGAGAAGAGGTGGGACCATAGGTTTCGGACTTTGTTCCATATCCAGGCGGCCTGGCTGCAGTAGAGGAGGCAGTGGGGGATGTCTTCAGGGACGTTGTCATTGCACATTACGCATAGTTCAGAGCTGTCGGGATCAGAGTGTTTTCTTCTTTTGTGGAGCCACTGGTTGACAGGGAGTGTTGCATGGGCTAGGAGCCACTGTCAGCTACGGATTCTAGCTGGTCTGATGGGGAGGTGTTTTGTCCAGGGGATGGATATTGAGGCTGTAGGCTCTAGGCTCAGTGTCTTTCTCCATCTGTCTACAAGTTTGGGGTTGGGGTCCGTGGTCAGGAGGCCTAGGTTGTACCCGAATTTGTCGTCGTAATTTCCGGTTTTGCTTTGTTTCCGTATCCACTCCTTAGGATCGAATTCGAGCTCCGTTATGCTGAGGCCAGGCTGGAAGATTATCCATGGTTTGGTTTTTGTTACCCTCACTTTTCGAAGGAAGGAAGGACTCTATCGTCTCTAGCAAAGGTTCTCTGTTGAGAATGGCTAGTTCCTGGAGGTTGTGATTGGCGATGGGTTAGGAGTAAAATTTGGAAAGGTAGCCGGTGGTTGAGGTGCGGGATGCAAACTGGTATGCTCTGTTCGGTGAAGTTTGGGATATGAGTATACCCCAGTCCCCTGGTTTCCAGGAGAAGTCTTCTTTCAAGAGGCGGGGCCAAGGGGGTGGGATGCTCTTCTGGATTTAAATTAGGTTGTCAGCGAGAGCGTGACATCCTTTTAGGGTGTTTCGGAGTTCGTGTTCCGTTCGCCATTCCCCCCGTTCTTCTGCCCACAGGTGTTTTACCTGCCACACCCCTTTTTCAACCCACGACAGCCATCTTCGGTCCTTCGTTCTTAGTGACCAGGGACTACCCTCGGGGTTCTTGATCCGCTCGTTGCAAAACAGCGGTTGTCTCGGGGCCTCTTCTTTGTTCTCCGCTGTGCCACGTTTGCTTGGCATCATACGTCGCCTGGCTTTCAGAGTCGGGGTCCAGTACGGGTTGGGTGTTGGGGCTGCCTGGTTGACTGAGTTACGTGTGGTGTTTCTGCGGGGTCTGCTTGATCTTATCGTCCACTCCTTTGCCATAATCCAGAAGTAGCCGCTCATGTTCGGTGGGGAGCTTATCGGTGCTAGGTTTCTTATGCTCTCTAGAGCCATCTTGGTCCATGGTAGGTATTGTCTGGTCAGGATCTTGATGATCCATTTCATTTGTAGTGCTGTTGATTCTTGCCTGGGTTCGATTAGCCCTAGGCCTCCCTCCTGCGGTTTCCTAATGATGTGGCTCCATGCTACTCTGTTGATGCATGAGGTTCGGTTGGGGTCCCCTGTCCATAGATAGCATCTTGCTCTAGCCTTTATGGTTTGGAAGTCTGCATCCGGAGGAGACCAGATGGATGCGATGTACCAAAGTGTGGAGAAGATGCCTGTGTTTATGATTAGTGCCCTCCCGATCAGCGATGCCTGTGCGTTCATGCATGGGGCCAAGCGAGTTATTGCTTTAGCAATTAAGCTGTGGCCCATGCCCGGCCAGACACCATCCTTGTTGACGATGATACCTAGGTATCTGAGTGCCTGTTTGCCCGTGGACCATGACATGGGTGTGTCTGTGCCCTCGGGTTGGGGGGGCGTGTCGTCTGCTAGCCACCATCCTTCGGTCTGGCTCCAGTTGACCTTCATTTCGGATGCGAGACGGAAAGCTTCCATAGCCCTCGAGAGAGCTTGGAAGGAACTGTTGTTAGCACGGACAAGAACTGTGAGATCGTCTGCGACCATCAGAGCAGTGGGTAGGGCGAAGTCGTGAAGTGATTGAAGTTCCGTTCGGTAAGCCAATCATGATGTTATTGCATTCCAATCAAGAGGTGACAGGATGTCCTTTACCATATTGTATGTCATGCCTACCTTTCCTAGGCAACTTCGAGAATAAACAATGTAACATTCCAGGTTTTTTAGAAGCTCAGGGCTGGTGGACCCTGGTTGCAGGTGGTGCCTGGCGAAAGTAAAAAATGAAAGGCGCTGTGCTTTGACGAAGCTTGGTGTGCAGGGGGAATCCGCCCCGGTACAAGAGGCTTGGACGTAGTGGTGGTTTCAATTGGCATCCTAACAAAAGCCGGGAGAAAGTGTTGGGAATGCAGAGGGAGTGGAATGGAGTCTGAATCGGGGTGGTTGGTGTCAGGGGCTGCTTGAAATCGGGGTTGAACGATACAAGAGTAGGAGGCAAGAATTGTTAAGTTCCCAAGGAAGAATTGCAAATTGTGAATTTGATTAACAGCAAGTGGGGGTGATTGAGCTTCATTTTCTCTGATGAACTACTTACCTGCCTTCGTGCCACTTTTTCACCTTTTCCCATTTGACAGAGATGGAAAGTGCATTTGCAGCATCTGCGATCAAGCTAACACTCCCACCAACAGCTCTGCGTGTGTGCCTGAAGGTCAAGGTTGTGGTACCCTTGAATCTGATATACACAGGCCTGAAGTTAATCCAGGTATATACTTCTGCTTTCCAGCCCTGAGATGTGCAATGTGCCATTCACCCTGTTAAAAGCAAGCAGCCAGCTTCTCGAAGCATTGACTATTGGAGAAAGTGTAGAATTCCCTCTTTCTGTGCTTTTGGCCATGGGATGAAGTGTGGAACTCCTTTCTGTGTTTCTGAACGCCTCTGTACTCTGGATTGGTGGAGTTACAACAGTGGTTCTGAAAAAAAACAGAAAAAAAAAGCAGGGGTTCTGGACTCCACCGATCAAGAGGGGAACTCGAAACTATCCCATTCTCCACGTTTGCAAGTGTTCTATTCTACGCTGTTAAGTTCCACCGATCTCTCAGTTAATTTTCTATTCCCTGCTTCTTTGCGTCCAGTTTGTTTCATAACTTCATCATGTCTTTTGCTTCCGCTTCGCCTGACCCACTTCCTCCTGCACATCTCCTCCTCCTCATCCACCTTCCCACACTCCACCTCCTCTTTATCGTGATTCTTATCCCGCTTCAGCCTACCTCCTTTTGATTTGGCTGCAGTTTCGGTGATATTTAGTAGATGGTGCTTTTGCTGTGAGAAATCATTTCAAAGGACATGCTGCAGCGCTCCTCCCTCTGTTTTGGCTGCATTTTCGTTGATATATAGTATGCGGTGCTTTGCGATGTGAGAAAATGTTTCAACGGAAGTAGAAGAAATAACAATAGAAGAAGAAGAAGAATGCCGATCCCCCTTCATCTCACCACCATCTCCAACCTCCAAATACTCTCCCAACTTCATCTTGCAAGGGGTTCAAGCCCTCGGCATACTCGTACGGGGCCCATACAGCAAACATGTGTCTGCCCTAAGTGAAGGCGGTCCCTGAATGTCAATGAGGCCTGAATACCGCAATTTCGCAGGCCCTGGTGGGGCGGCTGACCGTTACCCCGTGCCAGTCAGTTACATGTGAAACTTCCACGAGCCTTCTAGGCTCTTCTTGCTACCTCGTGGAAGCAGGCCTTTCGGCCCATCAGAGGGCAGGGAACACCTCACTGGGTGCTGGGTGGTTGGGCACACCTAACTGCTGCGGGCGGAGGCCACTGTCTGAGCGGTCCTGGGCCAGGCCAGTTTGCATATAGCAATGCGTCTGGCCGTGAGCACAGCATTCGGGCACTTGTGTGCAAGGCGGCACCGCTGCTGGAACATTCGCTTGGGGCTGCTAGCGCTAGGTGCCTGGGCGAGCACAATCACAGGGAAGTAGGCGCTGCATGGCAGCAGCGCCAGAGCTCAGGCTCCATAGCCGGGCTTGAGTTCGAGATTGGTCAGCAGGGTATGGCGGTGGTCTTCGGGAGATGGGAAGAAGCTGTGGGGGAAGTCGAGGGTGGGCATTGAGAGGGCGGGGTGATGTGAGAGCACGTACCTGGTCCTGGCGGAGGCAGCAACTGGTTGCTTTGTCATTTCTGTAGGCTAGCGTAGTTGCTGTAGGATCGTACCCTGGGCGCTGAGCGCCAGTAGGAGGAAGAGCTTTGAGTACATTGTTGGTGGCGGCGAGAGAATGCTTTCATTGACAATTGAGTTCGCTGCTCTGGTTCTCCTTCGGTGTGATATCAGTGCATTTCTGCTTTGTGGACAGTTTATGACTATCTGGCTTTCAATGTGATGTTGCAATTCGGATTCTGTCATTTCGCTGTTGCTCATTTTCCTTGCATTCTTAACAATAATGATAATAATAACAATGAAAGAATGAACTTGGACCAATGTCTGAATCCTCCCCTTACTGCCAGCCACTGAAAGGGTCCACCATAGCCATCTCATACACCTTCCTCCTACTTGGTCGAGCAGGTGGCTGTGGCGGGGTATCGGAGTGAAGCTCCGATGTTCAAAGGACAAAGCAAAGCTAATGTGTCCTTGCTATTATGGCCGCCAAGCCTAGCACTAGCCCGGAGTATTCCTTGTAGGTGCCAACCCCCAATGGGGCCTTCCAGGTGCAGCGCCAACCAAGAAGTAGAAGATGCAGACCACCATAGCCAGGTAAGCTCCCCCTTCACTCTCCTCCTTGCTCGCCATCTTGCTCCTCTTCCTACTCCCCCGGAGTCTCCCTCCACCATAGCCAAGGTGGAGGGCCAAGCCCGCCTCCTTCCTCATCAGTGATGCTATGGTGAGTGCTTGCTACACCAGTGTGTCGCCCAAACTTCCACGCTGCAAATGAGGCCGATTCTTGTGCCCCCAGCAAAGATATACCGGAGTATTGCCTCTTTGCACATCGGCTTCGAGGCCGCCTGAACTTCCATGCTGCAAATGAGGCTGATATTCCCCTCCACTGGCCCTGGACTCAGACTACTGGACCGGTATACCTTGCCCTTTACTCTGCCTCCTTTCATAACATGCAAGTGGGCCGTTAGGGCACACGGGGATGTGGGCAGCTGCCGCCCAACCACAATCAACATGGGCAGCAAGAACAAATGGAAGGGGTACCCCAAGGATAACCAAATAGCTGCTTAATTGTAAACTTGTTTAAATCGTGGACTGTCTCAACTCAAGTGCTCTCATGGTCTGCAATATGACAAAAGCTGATTGATTCTGAATCTAATCATCTGGGTGGAATTGGGGCTGTTGTGGGGAAAATTGGTAACACAAATATTAGAAAACAGCAGGTCTTTCAGTCTGAGTTTGCAGGTCATCACACTTCACTCTATCTATTTTTTGGCAAAAGACTGAGAAAGGTATGGAACGTATATTCTCGTAGGTGGTCAGTCATATTTGGCAAGAGACTACCTAATTAGTAATAACTTAATAAGGTGTTTTCAACTGTTTTCCAATTTGTGCAGGTTTTGACATGGTGGAGCCGGCTGTCCCTCCCACAGGCGCCAGTAGCAATCCTCATTGCAACAGATCTTTACAGTCTTCTGATGCAGTGCAAGCCAATGCACAGTGCCATGACGGTGTGGAGTGCACAGAAAAGCACAGAGTGAGCCCCAGAGAGTTGGAGTCGTCTGGAACAAAGTTGACATACTCTTCAGGGGGCGTTTCTCTGCCACCAGTTGGGAGCACTGTCATGAATGATACTAGAAAGCCTCCTTTAGGTTCCACACTGCCGGATGTTGAAGTTTGTATCTCAAGTTTTCAAAGATCGTTCTCTACAGAGGACGTCACTGGGTCAGGTTGTGGCAGAGCTCATGAGGGCCCAGGGAGAGTCCCAGCCGCACCTAACTGCCAGACTGTGCAGTTTAATGAACAGGAGGCAGAAAAGTACCTTGTAGGAGCGGAAGGGGATGTGGGCAGGATTGGAGCAGTTAGTGTTGTTGATTGCAGTGGGGTTGGCAAGGGTTCAGCAGATGACGATTGTGCAGTCGTACAGGTGGATCTTGCAGGCTCACAGCTCTGTGCTAAATCCGGACAGGAAAGGTGTGATGACGGAGTTACACTGTGTTCAGAAGACTGCAACCTCTCCCTGAGTAGTGATGGAGACAGGAGTGAAGAAAGTGGAAGTCGGCCATCAGACAGCAATAGGAATGACAAGAACAACTGTTTGCTCGAGAGCTCTTCGAAGCAGAGGACAAGGTCAGATGGTCCCTCTGCAGGTTGCCTATATGGCAAAAGTGATCGTGAACATTCTGCCAACAGGGAGCATCCAGCTGAAGTGGGAGGAAAAGGTGCAAATGCCTCATTCGATTGGCAGACGGTAGCAGGTGCAAATCTTGTCAGTCAGTGTGCGGAAACTTGCCTGGGACACAGTAGTGACCAGGATCAAGCTGTTGCTGGCATGCAAACAGAAATGAAAAAAGTGCAGGCTCACATTGGAGATGTCGGGAAGTGGACACGTCATTCAGAAGGATACTCTCAGGGATGCGAGGAGGGAAGGAACCATGATCGTAAGGTAGAGGGTGGTGGGAATGATACAGCTGGACTGCCACACAGCACAATGTTTGTGTCAGGGGTGGCACGGTCCTCGCCCAAGATTGGTGGTGTTTCTAGCATGAGAGGAGTAGTTGGAAGCGAGGGGGGGGATGCAGAGGACAAGAGCACAATAGTTGCCTCTGAAAAAGGTATTGAAAAGCTCAGCAATTCAGCCACAGATAGAAACGCAGATCCTTTGATGGATGGTGTTGATGAGAGGGGCAATGATGTCGTACTTTTGAAGCCGAAACAAGAAGGATGGGATGCAACACAACACGACGCTCTGTCTGAAGCGAAGAGTGGCAAACTAGTTGAGGCCGGCCTATCGGATGTAGTGGAGGAGAAGACATGGACTTTGGATGCAATGAACATGGAGAGCACGGAAGAAGTTATGGCCGCCTTTTGGGGCTGTTCCATGGAGGACGGCAATAGCTTCATGAAAGGAGCTTTAGTTGAGGCTGCAAATGTTAATGATTTTACAAAAGTTGAAGCCTTGGAGCCCGTGCCATGTGGAGCTATTGATGTTCCCTTTGGATTTGAGGAAGAAAATACTGGTGCTGTGCAAGGAGCATGTCGCCAAGCACTTGCCTCTGCAGCAATTGGTCAGCCGTTGTCATTGATCAAATCAGAATGTAAGTCAAATTTTGAGGATAGGTGTCATCAAGTGCATCCATCTTCAGAAGAAAGCTTGAGCTTCAGCAGCGGAAGCAGCGGAAGAGTCTTGGCGGGGCATGCGGTGGGAGATGAATGCCTATCAGGGGATGCTGAACGCAAACAGCAGCAAACAAAGCAGGTGATGAAGATGGGAAGTGGGGGACGGGGGGTAGGGCAAAGGCCGACGAAGCTCATCCCAGTTAGCAAAAGTGACTGTCAGTCTGTAAGAAGCAAGGATGCAGTTGGGCTGATGAGCAGAGGGCAAGGGTTTGAACCAGTGGATGGTATGAAGCCACCACACGGCGTCTACATGCATGTCAGGAAAGACATCTCTACAGGTGAAACACAAGGCAGTGATAATAAGATTGCACTTGGTCCAAGGACAGAATCTGAGCAGCAATGTGGAGACAAGCAGGGAGCAGTCTCATCTCATGCATGCCATCCTGCGGGTAGTGATAAATCAACAATGACGAGGCTAACCAGTTGTGGGAGAGAAGTAAGAAGTGTAATCCATGACACACGCCAGGGTCACGTTGAGGTACGTAGAGACCACAGGAAGGGAAAATGGGGTTTATCCAGTAGGTCAGGGTATACCACCCATGAGGTGCGAGGCATGGCGGCCCCTCCAGCACTACCCCCTCCACCACCACCACCGCTACCACCACCACCACCACCTCCACCACCACCTCCACCTGTTCCTCCACCGCCACCTCCTCCATCTGTCATGATGCCACCTCCACAACCGGTTCCCATCCCAGCAGTGGGAACATCAGACGGATTATCGAAATCAGTTCAAAAAGATGCTGCCGGCCGAATTTTGGGTCTATGGGGTCTCCAAGGACTGCAGGCTTTGCAGGCCCTCCAAGCTCTGAAGACGCTGCAAGGGTTGCAAGGATTGCAAGGATTGCAAGGATTGCAGGGCCTCCAAAACCTTCAGATCCTTCACGGCCTGCAGAAACTGCAGGGGTTGCAGCAAGCTCTGAAGAGCATGCAAGTGCTTCAAGGCCTGGAGGGGTTTCAACCTCTGCAGAACTTGCTACTCAATCTGCAAGGAGGGATGCATGGCATGCATGGGCTTCAGGATCTCGGGCTTCTGGGAGATCTCCAGAGACTCCAGGCATTGCATGGTCTACAGGAGCTTCAATCATTGCTCCAAAGTGTCCAGGGATTGCAGGCCTTGCAAGGATTACAGGCTCTGCAGGAGCTACAGTCTCTACCTGTGCTCTTTGGAAATGGCATATCGTTGTTGGAGAGGTTGGCCCAAGGCGTGAGCAGTGGGCGAGAGCCAAACACAGTTGGAGTCCCTCAGCTCATGGGAGGAGGAAGTGGGCGTCGAGAGACATTTCAGCCTCCGAAATCCTTTTCCTTGACAAACACGTGTGCATTCCCATTCATGGGAGGAGGAGGAGGAGGAAATAGCGGATGGCAAGAGGCCAGTGTTTCAGCCAAACCTGGCACATCGCTACAGTTTCACATGGAGAATGCAAGGATGGTGAACGGCCCCCTGCGAGGAGGGCCTTTCTCCGGCTGTCAGAGTGCTGCAGCCTCTGCCTTTGACCACTCTGCTGCACATCACCCAAGGCAGCAGCAGGGGATGAAGCCTCGGACTGTCGTGGAACATCAACAAGGACATGGCATGGCTCTGCCTAAAGATCATATCGGAAGTGGTTTTGGGGATCAACCACAGAAGGAGTTGGCAGCTGTGGGAGTGAGCATGCAACAGCCACGACACCAATCTGAGCAGAAGACCGAGCGGCCGTGCTGGAGAGCTGGCGGAGAACCTCCCACAGTGTGGGATAAAGTACCAGGGAGCCTTGGTATGAGTCCAAAGGGCATATACGACTCCAGCAGACCATCGCCATCGAGGGTGAGTTCTAGCAGAGTCCCACATGTGGGTCAGATGACAAAGCTCCAATCATCCCTTGCCACTAGTGAGGACAGCAGAGAGGAGAACGAACCGGAGCCATTGTGGACAGTTCACAGCATTTGCAGGGAAGGCTCACAAAGCCCTTTGCTGGCAAGCTCAAGGGGGCATCCTATACCAGCAGCGGGGAGAGAACCATCTAGCTTGAGTCCCCAGGGTCGGGTCCTCATGGATCCGCTCGTCCAGTCATCAACGCGATCCATGCCTCTGCCAGCCAGGTTTGGAGTAATGGAGACGGTGCCTTCTGAAGATGATCCTGGAAGCCGGAGCAAAATAGTGTGTCCAGCACCACCAGGATCAGATGGTTCAACAATTAACTGGGCAGCCCCCAGGCCACCTCCTCCTCCGCCGCCTCCTCCTCTAACCCCACCCCTACCTGTTCCTTCATGTGTTGTCGAATCTCCGGCAACACATTCTCTTCCGTCTTCTCCTAGCATTTCTGGGGTACCTTGTTCAGCACCTCAAATATTTCTGCAGCAGCCCAAGCTTACCACTGATGAGCAGGTACCTCTAACCTCCCAAGCAGCCACACCGGGCTCTGGCGCTACAGGGTATGAACCAGCACCACATCATGAGTTGATCGCAGATGCAAAACACCCGGCGCTTATATCAGGAGCACACGGAAAATCAGCTGTGGGTCATAACCAGTTCGGCAGTTCAACTATGATTCCAGTTCCAGCCACATCCATGATAGCGGTGCGTCTGTCCAGTTCTGCCAGTGGGGGAAGCATGTGGTCAGTGCCAGTCAAGGCAGAGGCTGTGCCTGCTATCAATGACAGGGGCAGAGTACTTCCAGGGGAAGAGAGTGGTACTGCAGATGGCGGCTGGTGTTGTAAGTGTGATCGTGTGGACGGGATGAGTTGCTGTGTTTCATGTGTTGGTAGGAGGTGGTCCAGGCTTTTAAGAGCTCAAGCTGATGCTGAATCTGGCAGCCTTCATGACAACCTATTTTTCAGCGACAGCGGATATGATGAAGCCCTACTGCTTCCCAGCCTTGTGGATATCTACCCAATCCATGGACACGGGGAATTGGTCAACCACCTGTATGGTTCAAGGCTAAGGCTGATCAGGGACCAAGGGGGCAGGAGTCCAACCCGTGACGTGGAGGAGACGTCGCCAAAGGTTGAGAAAGAGGTAAGACTGTGCAGCTTGGTGGGATTACGTCTTCCTCATTCTCCTTATTAGTAGTTATAACCCCTTCTACGAGTGGATGAAGCAAAAGAACATGGATTTTGAACAAATCGTGAGGGGGATGAAATGTCATCAAGAGTTGCGGAAGATGCAATGGTCCGCAACATGGTGTGATTATGGTCCCCTCTTTTTGCACTTTGAGGGCGCAAACAAAGGGAGCATTCATTGGAATCGTTTCAATGCTCTATTGAGTGGATGAGTCAGCATTGCACAATGCAGCAGGAGAGCGAATCATTACCCACAGGAACAAGGAGCAAATAGGAGGAGGAGGAGGAGGATCTGTGTCTCAAAAGCAGAGCAGCACTGGTAGAAACTCAGAGAGCACCAATACATCTCGTACGGCGAAATGAATATCAGGCAAAGGATTGCTGGGTCACGGTTTGAATAGAGTTTTCCGGGTGTTGCCGTACTAGATGTGAAAAATGTTGAGTGCATCTTCACCTGGAAGGTGGGAGGATACATCGGTCACTTTGAAAAATATCCGTTGATATATCTTTGCCCATTCTAAGATGCACTCGTCGCTTGACACTTCCAGCGAGCGGTGCGGCCAGGCCATTACTTAGCAGTCAATCACAATGTGAAAACATCATTTAAGCATGTAAAATATGTCACTGGAGCTCAACTTAGCGGACAAGAATAGTTACAGATGTATGTATCGAACAGACTGGCATGAGAGCAATGGGGCATGTCAACAAATGTTGCTGCTGGTCTCTGGAGGGACAGTCTTCTTCCTTCTTCAGGGAGTTCGTTTGTTCAGTGTGCTCTTATGTATTATCAATTTATCTCTTCTCTTCCACCCTGGCTTGGTATGTATATGCGCCTCTCAACTCGCACATTCTAGAGGCCGATAGTCTCTGCACTCTGAACGCAATAACAAATACATACGAGGATCTGTTTTGTCTTAGTTCTCCCTTCTCATGTCCGAGGGCTGCATAAATTCACACAAGACTGCTCTGGAGGCGTTTCTGCCTCTGTCTGCAGCCAACTGTCTTCACGTTTAAGACCCATTGCCTCCAGGTCTACTTCACCGATCTTGTGCTTCTGGCCATGGATTCGCTAAGCACTCAGCGCATGCGTTCAGAATGGTACACATGCGACTATTCAGTTAGTGTTAACTAACAGCTCACGAGTAGTAATCCTGATGGAATCACATGGATACAACAAGGTTTGGGGCTACGCCTTTCAAAGGGGGGAAAATAAAACAAAGTCTGACAGGGCTTTCATTCATGTGGCTGCCCCCCATTTAAGATAGCAAGAAGAACAACAGTGCTCTCAGAAATATCTCTCTCTCATATTTCACGTTTTCGCTGCTGCACTGTGGTGACCATTCCAACACTTGCGTGTTCCAAATTTCTCCCCCTCCCCCTCCGCGTCCCCTCTACCCCCTCACTCGCCCCCCCACTCTTCCCTCCTCCTGGACTGTAGCCTTCTTGAGAACCATTTTTGATCAGATGGAGTGGTTGCTGTCTGTTCTGCAGGAAATGATTCCAAGGTGGTTGGAGGGAAAGAGATTTGTGGAGGGTGCGCAGGTTTTGAACTCTGAACAGCACTGTGAGAGTTCAGCCCCATCCCTTTGTGCATCAGAAGCAGGGAGAGACATGCATGACAGGAAATGCAGCTCCATCAGTAGAGATACTAAGCAGGGCACTAGCTCAGGGGTCACATGGTGTGGAAAACAACAAGGAATTCTGTCTCAAGCTGATGGAGAGGAGAGCACTTGTGATTCGCAAAGGAAGGCACAACTTGCATGTGACGTGGAGCTTGGTTTGCAAACGAAAGCTGATGTGCCAGCATCAGTGTATATAAGACAGGGCACAATGATTGGTGGCATAAAGGGCAGAACAATGCAACAACGTCAGGGGGATTTTGCAAGTGTGTTGCCACCACCATCATCATCGCAACACGAGCAGGGTGCTAGCTCTGGGACGACATGTTGTGGAAAACAAAAGGCAGGTCTGAGCCAAGTTGATGGAGACAAGAGTGTTTATCATTCATCGAGGGAGACATATATTACATGTGACCCGGGGGTCAGTTTTCAAAAGAAAGCGAATGTGTGGTCACCAGGGTGTACAAATGAGGGCACAGTGGCTAGTTTGACGAAGGGCAGAACAACGCTACAAGGCCAGGGACATGTTGCATGCGCGCTGCCACAGCCATCATCATCACAAGAGGGGCTTCCCGAAGATGTCCATGACCAGCACACTAGAAGGAGCCCTGACAGAGGTGTTCATTCTCAGGCTGAAGATCGATGCCGAAGTGAATGTAAAGAGGATTGTACTGCCGACGTAGATGTTGACGGATGTGATTTACAAGATGCGCCTCAGCAGTTGGCAGGTTTTCATCCAAGCGGGATCACTTGCGGTGCTGATTCATCTCAGTCTGCGAAGGGGGATCATGAAGTTGATGATGACGGCTTCGGGAATCTCAGAAGGAATGTTGAAAGTATTGTAACCACCGGGCATAATCTAGCAAATGGCAGTGTGAGCAGGAAGAGAGCAAGACCAATGACTGGGGATTGCACGAGAGTGGGCAAAAAGCCGCAGGTGAGAGAAATTGATGATGAATTGTGCACAAGCAAGGAAGACAACAGAGGAGAAGCGGATGAGACCAGGGATGGAAGGGCACGTTGGCCACCAGCTGATACCGACAGAGTAGTTGATGAGTGTATTGGAGGGGTTGCTAAGCCAGTCGTATCTGAATATCCCAAATGCAGAGTCGGCGATATGGATCTTTCACAACGGAACCCTTGTCCTCCGGGGCTGGCGAATAGTGGGCAATGGACAAGCGGGGTTGAAAGAATGGAGCTGGGGAAATGTGACGATGGACAGGCTGAGTATAAAGGAGAAGGGGAAACTGGTCATACTGGAAAAGTTTCTGGGGATGCCAAGCAGGTCGAGTTGCGACAGACATGGCAGCTTCTGGATGCCGCTGATGTGACGCAGGACGATAAGACAAGGAGTGACCCAGAGATGGTATCAGGGGAGCAAAGTAGAGAACGTTGGTACGAACCTTGCAGTGATGACTTGCAGGCCATAATACCTTCACAAAATGCAGAGGTGGCAGCTGCACCGGCAGAGAACGACAACGTGAAGAATATGGAGAGGGTTGACGGCAGAATGACACAAAGTATGGGTTTTGAGGGTAATGTTAGGATCCTGCCAGAGATGGGAGAGAGGGGAGCTCCAGCGAAGGCTGTGACTGAAGGTTCGACAAGGGAGAAGGGTAGGAAAGAAGAGGGACAACAGGGGTTAGTGGCAACTGAAGGAACGCCACTGTCTTACACTTCTGGTAGTCCTCGTGGAGAGGCGGGGAAGGGGGCGCTCCCGAGTGTCAGAGATGAGAAGACATGTCATGTGGGAAATGGGACATGTGCTACACAGAGTCCCCACATGGGAGAAGGCATGTCAAAGATGGTGGGAGATGACATGTCAAAGACAGTCAGTGAAGGCAGAGATGATTCTAACAGAGCAGGCAGCAACCAAGCTGTTGATTGGGTCAAGGGTGTCGAGTTCAAGGGGAATGTTGTTCAAAAGGGTGACGAATCTGATCAGACTCATGGGAAGCATTCTTTGGAAAATGGATACAGAAATGAGGAAAGCCAACAGAGGAAGATTAAGAGGGAGCTCTCCTTCGCAGAATTTGAGGCAGGTGCAGCGAACGGCACCGGGGTTGATACAAGGGTACACAGCCGGGCTGATCCTCGCAGCTGTTTGCTTTGCAGGTAAGGTTTTGTGACAAACCTCGCGGATCAGGGAGCCAGGGTTGGGACAAACCTCACGGATCAGGGAGCCAGGGCGGGGGGTCAAATGCAAATGCAGTGCTGGAGAAATCAGAGGTAGAGGGAGGTATTGTTTAGCTGATTGAGTTCTCAACAAACCATCTCGTGGTTGGGCACTTTGCATGGAGAGTCCATGACAATGATCTGATGTTTTGTCGATCCTGTCACTGCAGCCTTTGTGCAGCAAGCGTGAGGCTGTGCCATCGCCCACACGCTGGTCAGCACAGGAGAGGGAAGGGAGTCAACTGACCCAAGTCAAGAATAAATATTGCTCTTGTTTTTGCAAGTTGATTGTGTGCAGTAATACACACCCTAGACATAGGTCAAAATTTCAATTGCTTATTTTCAGAATTTCGCAGCAAGTGGAAGGAGGTTGACAGTGGATGAGGATGCCGTCTGTCTATCTGCTCCACCTTTCCCTGGTCTTTTCTTCCCTCCTTCCCACCCTCCGCCCGTCTTCTCCCAGTCAGAGAGTTACCTCCTTCAGTTCATTGAGGAGTCTCCCAGGTCGATCGAGTATGTCACGACAACGTGCCGAGCTCGAGGACAGTTATTTTGAAGCTTGCGCTTGTGCACTGATTGCTTTCACGCTCATATCACTCCTCGTTGTATGTTGTACCCTTTGTTCTTTGTATGCTTGTATCACTCCTCTCTCTTTGGGGCTCACTTCATTACACAACACACTACAGCATTTTGGATGCTTTGGGGACCATGTACATTCAAAATGTTGGACTCGTCGGAATGCACCTGGTCCTGAAAGCCTCCACGTGCATGCCGAGTGATGTGTAGTGGAGCGACACGCTTTGTATGCTTCTATCATCTCTCTTTTTGTGCTTACATGGTTCCTCGGTGTACGCGTATGTCATTCCCCGTTGTATCTACTTTGTTAACAATTTGTTTGCTGGCTCTTCTCAGCAGGGACAGTACTGTTGGTGTGTGTATTCCAGGACCAATTCTCGGGCCCCTTCAGTTCTTTTGCTGGTCCCTCGTCCCTATACTCAGTTGTTAGTGTGTGCTTGCATGCGTGTAAAGGACATTTACAATGATTTACTAGTATTCAGCGTATAACAAATACACTTTTCTACGCTTGAGTCATCCGTACAGCAGGGGGATGACTTATACTGAGAGAGGAACGAAATGTGGACGAGACTTGATGGCCAAAACTGCCCATTATACGAAGCCTGGAGCTCTGATTTGTAGTGTTGCTACTGGCCGTTTAATCGAAAAACTCGATGGGCAGAAAAGAGTGAGACCGATGACCGAAGCTCAGTAATTCACAAACATCGAACCGCTGTACGATCATACCTTCCTCTGTCCCCTTCAATAGATTGGTCAAATACTGAAGTAGTTAACTGAACTTACCTCAAATCTCCCAGATACCTTCCCTGTCGGTTATTGACGTAAAGCCCACCTTTGAGTGAAAGGCTTTTAGTGACCCCAAATTCCATCCAGCAGCAAGGACTGTATCCTCCCCCGTATATACATACGATGCTCCCACTCCATCTAATTCCTCAAGTATGTCGATTCCCCATCTAAATCGATCTACATGCCGTACACACCCGCGCACCCAGGTCATCAATATTCTGTGAGCAAGGGCATACACTCTCTTCCTCACCATAGTCGTATGTGCACAAGTCCTGGCCGAAGCGTGTGCCGAAACGGAATCTTCAAAAACTCAAAATACTGGATCAGCAGCTCAACTCACCATTGCGGATATACGAGGAATATGCGTCCACAAACACCCAAACGACAATGATAGGAAACAACAGCGCCGAAGCCAACCAGAAGATAAGGAATAGAATAAGACATCTTTGAGAATCATCAAGACTGGAGGAAGAAGGAATAGAGGAGGAGGAGGAGGGAATTCGTTTTTCCCGTCAGGCAGAAGATCACAATTTTACCGTACAAAGGGTAGGTAGATCTCAAGTGATAACAAGAAGCAAGGCTAGGGATAGTAGCATAGTCCGTTAAACATGCTTTTCGCCATATTGCCACCAACACGAGCTCAAAACAGAAGCACATGCTATTATCATCATTCGTTCTGTTTGACGGGGAAAGGACGAAGGGTGGAGTGTATGATGGCGGTTGGTGGGTGGGACAGATGTAGGTCAAAGTATCGATATCATCACCACCAGTGCACCCTCGTCTGCGCTCTTGTCAAGGGATTGCAGTTGAAGGCTATAAGCATCTCTCAACGTCATGTAGATACTACATGGCTATCACTTCACGGGGCTGAGAAGCTCCCCGAACAAATGGACAGTATATCCAATGACGAAATTGATAAGGCGAGTGCTAAGTTGATAGAGATGGAGAGTGCAATAGCAGGATGGTGTGGAAGCAGAGCGATTGTGAGCTTCATGTTCACCTAGGCTATGAAACACCCGCGGACGCGTCGCGGACGCGTCCGCGGTGTCAAGCTCGGAGGGCGGACGTGATCACGGCCGCCGCGGCTCCGGCCGCGGTTGGGTGCGGCCGCGACTTTCGGGAATTTTTTGTGACCTTAAAAAATTATCAAAAAAAAAACAAAAAATATGGGGTTGTAGATCTTTTCGAGATCTAAATTGCGCAATTTTTTATTTTATTTTTTGACTTCGTCTTCGAATTTTAAAAATTCAAAAACTAATTCTCCTGAGGCAAAAGCTGGTTTTTTTTTTTTTTTCCAAAAACAAAACATGAAACGTATGTGATTTTTTATTTTGAATTCAGTAACGTTTTTGGATATGACCACAAGGCAAAAGTTGTTCAGTTTATTTTTCT